GATTGGCTGATTTTGCATAGAAGTCAGAAATCTCTTCAGATGGGGATTTCTAACTTAAATGTTATAAATTTTGAAGACCTTTAAAGTAGTTAAAGGCCAAACACCAGTGCTCTAACAGTGGCGCCCCTCTCTTGGCTTCTCTGCTCTCTGACTAACAGTGGTGCCCTCTCTTGGCTGCCCCGTGCTCTAACAGTGGTGCCCCTTCTTGGCTGCCCCGTGCCCTAACAGTGGTGTACTCTCCTGACTTGCCAACTGTGTGTATTTGGGAAGTAGACTGACATCCAGTCAAGAGAGCTCTCAGGCCATGGGGATGACTTTTCTGCTCCATAGAAACAACTACTCAGAGGCTAATTCAAGCTTCAGTTCTTTCTGTAAGCATTTAAATTGAGCTTACAAATCTCTGGATTTATTTGCTTATAAAACAGAGTATCCCGATTACATTTAAACCCCTTAAGTATGAAAATGGCAAATATTATTTGATGTATTTACTTTCTGTTTTGTTTGAGACAGGTCTTGCTATAGCTTTCAGCAAAGTCTCCCAAATGCCAGGATTATAGGTGGCACATGCCAGCACAACCATCTTTGATTTCTTAAGTACTCCATTCATCTGACCCAAACTAACTTTCGTAAGGATTTAAGGCAAGGTCTTAGTCATTTTAAATGTCCCAAACTACACAGAAAGAAGTGAGACTTTTAAAAAGCAGCTTTAAAAAATCAATTTAAGCACTCAGTACTTTTAAAATGCTGGCATTACACAGCAAACCTGCTTATTGTAACAAACTCTCCTCAGTATGTCAAGGATTTAACTAAGAGAGCATGTGCAAACACACACACTTAAGGCAGCACTTAGAGGTTGAGGCAGCAGGACAGAGTGAGTTCAAAGTATGTCTGGGTGACATATGAGACCATCTCAAGAACATGAACCGAAACCAAAAGCCCCCAAACCTACAGATTATTTGAAGCAAATAGTAGTGACACAATTTTGACGCAATTAAACATACTTACCCTTTTTTCTGAAGCCTCTACCCTAGCTAGATGCTTGTCTAGCAAGAATGCAATGAAATCACCCCATGTATCTGGGCTATTGTTTCAGATGACCGAGACTGCAAAATAGCCAGAAACCTTGGTTTGGCACCAACAGGATTAAGGAACCTAGAAACTCCTACTTGTGGGTATGTAAAGCACAGTTACAGGGTTTCCAGCATAAGTCAAAGTTGCAGTTGGCCCATGTGCTGGGTTGATGCTCTTCTGCACCCAGCTGTACTTGCTCATGAAAGTCTAGAACCCAACTTAGGTGGTTTATCCTACATCTTGACTAGGTGGTGCAATTTCTTGGCTCTAAAAATAATTAAAACATCTTCCCACTTTAATAACACCTGCCTTCTACCGTTTCCTTTCTTGGTGGGCCACCACTCCTAGAGGGTTTCAGATGCAGCCTGGCTGGCTGTAGATCTCTTGCAGGTTTGACCTGTGGGCACGGTTTCTATGGTTCTGCTGAGAGTTCTCATCTCCTCACCCTTAGCTGAGTTCTGTCTTTACCTGGCTTTTCCTTACAGCACACAGTGGTACCCTCTTTCTCCTCCTCTCAGTCTGCTGTATGCACTCAATCCCCATGAGGACTAGATGATCAAAGACACCCCACCCCGTGTTCAATACCGTAGAGTTCTACACTCCCCTCCTGTGACTCTATTCATTCTCCCTTGGGACCACAGACCTCCCCAAGAGAGAAAGGAAATTTTGGCACTGTTCATGCTAAGACACAAACAATCAAGTCTTTCCTCCTCTGTTGGACAAACAACCTGCCTCCAAGAAGCAAAGGAAGCTAACATATACCAGGCACCGAGTTCACAATCTCATTTCATTCATTTCTAATAGCCATATGAGGGCACCTGTTAAGCTCAGAGAAAGTAATTGACAGTCAACAGAAGGAAAAAGTAAAACCAAAATCAAGCGTAGTCTACACAACTTCAGAAGGGTCTCTTGCATACACTGCTTTTAGTTCTTGAGAATTCTAGCCAGTCAGATGTGGCAGGATGGCAGTATTCTAATGGACATGCTGATTCCCAGCTAAGGCCATGACAAACTGTAATCTGAAAATCTGAACTTCTGAGGCCCACCTCTCTATAAAAGCTGCCCTAACCCTCAGTCTCAGGAACAACTCCAGAAGGAGCCTTTCCAGTGTTCACTTTATGTAACTCTTTCCCGTAACTGTCCCAGCAACTATGTTTTTTTGGTTTTTTTTTTGTTTGTTTGTTTTTTGCTTTTTTTCGAGACAGGGTTTCTCTGTATAGCTCTGGCTGTCCTGGAACGCACTCTGTAGACCAGGCTGGCCTCGAACTCAGAAATCCACCTGCCTCTGCCTCCCAAGTGCTGAGATTAAAGGCGTGCGCCACCACCGCCCGGCGTCCCAGCAACTCTGAAAGGCAGTGGTAGTGGTGACTTTAAAGATAAGGGGCTGAGGCATAGCAGAACCAAACAGCCACCCACTCTGTGCTTTAGTCACCACCCCTGACACTTATGTTCTTCCCACACAGCGGCTGTTCTCTGCATACCCGCTTGCCCCTTCAACAGGTCTGGCTCTCCATCCCTGCTCCCTGAGATCTGTCCTGGCAGAACCACCTTTGACCCAGCCCTACTTTATGGATTTCCAATCCCCTCCACCACCTATGATCTCCATTTTTCTTTCTTCACCTCAAGTACACCTATTTTGTGTGAATTCTTTGAGAACTATATCTGGATAATCAGGGTAAAGTAATTAAAGTTCTGCTACTGGCAGATTTTCTTCCTGCACCCAGAAAACACTATAGTTTTTGTACTAAAACACACTTCCCAAGTGCCCTCTCTGAGCCGAGTCTGAAATCGCCTCACAAACCCTCAATGTTGCAAGCTACCTGTTATTTCACAGACCAAACCAGGAAGCTGGGGCCCAAAGACATTAACTAGGGTTAGCGTTAGGAAGTGGTTAGGTGGGGACTCAGACTCATGCATGGTGGCCACAGCGGTGTATCATGCAAGTCCCTGGGAGAGCAATGTCTATGCTGACTATAAAGGACAGGCAGAAGTGAAATTTCAAAGATGTGCAGAAGCAACATCTTCTAGCCAGGGGTGATCTGCCTGCAGACTAGTACAACAGCATGTGACAACTTTGTTTGCACCACTGTGGCCCTACTGTGACACCCTGCACACACCAGTGTCTCCTTTCATCCCCTACTGTCACCAGCTAATACAAACCTTCAGTTATCTTTAAAGACAATTATCTTTATTCCTCAAGAGAGGAAAATAGGTCTAATGTATTGACTTCCCAGTTCTGTGTTTTTACAGTGTAGAAAATGACTTCTGTAAAATCACTGCCCAGACATGGCAACAGGGATAAGATCCGTGACAGAGCTGGAGTCACTGAGGAGGGGAAGGGAGCCTTGAGCAGTTGATGCTCACCCCTGTGCCCTGCTCAGGCGCTGACAACTGGGCACACCTGAAGACTAGCCACAGGACCTAGTTGGGAAGCTGTGAGGACAGAAGCCTGGACCCTGGAGGATGGCTGAGCCCTCACCACCACCTTCCCTCTGTAAGCCTTTCTTCACCTAGCTTGCTTTGTATAACTGTCACAAAGTGTGCAGCTATGACGAGGTCAAGTCCAGGCAACTTGTCATTTCTCCAAAGTCATGCAGAATGGCAGAGCCAGCGTGCACTCATCATTTTCAACCTCTCCCCTACACTGCACTACACAGTATCCACTCAAACAGAATAAAAACCTGGTCCACGCACATGCTGATTTTGGGTTAATGTACAGAGCTTCCCTAAAGACAGGATTGACCTTAATGACCAAGTGAACAGGTCTTAAGCAAAAAGAATAAACCAATATATTTGGCTGGTGCAATGGGGAATAAAGTCAAGGCCTGAGGCCAGAATTACATAAAAGAGGTGACTGCAGGTGACTCTAAATGCCCTGCTGCCCAGAGGGATGGCTTAGCATAAGGCTAAGCCCCTAATGGGGCTAGCACCAGAGCCTGGAGAGGCTGCACGGCTGAAGAGGGAAACATTGAAATTTGTTACCATAAGACAAAGGGAGGTACAGAGGTGGTACAGAATCCAGATCAGTGGGATCCCATTGTGGGAGGTGCTGGGAATCTCACACACACAGGTAAATTTCAGGCTGAAGCCTGAGTAACCTGGTTAGCGGCTAGGCTGTACGTGAGGTCAGTGGGGCACTTTAAATGGTCCAGTCCGATGTATCTGCCCTTCACAACAAATGTGGGCCATCAACCAGATTGTCAGATTTCTGTGACTAACCAAAGGGTTTTATTCTTTTCGTGTTACTACATCTGGTCCTTTCTCTGGCAAACTCTTTCTACTAGACACAAGAGAAAGTTGGGCAGAAACACGCCTTCTACTTTTCCTGCAACTTGAGTAGCTACACATCTTCCAGTTATCAGTTCAGGCTGTGTTGCTCCATAGGTGGCCTACCATACTGTAAGGACCCTACTGTGAGGTGAGTGAGGTGCTTGTCCACATGCATCCTTAACTCCCCTACTGAACCAGGAGCACTCAGTGCAAGGGACTAGCACAGTGCCTGAAACAGAAGCACTTAACAAACAGTATGTTAACACCCACCCATTTTCTTCAATTAGAATTCCCTATGCCCTCGAGCAATCTTAACATACTTGTCATTTAAACACACTGAATGTCATAAAAGTGAGCCACAGGGGCCGCAGCTGTCATACTCTCTTCCAGAGGAATTTACAAGGAGTGGCAACAGGTCCTGTGACAGTTGGGAGACCTGTGCGAGCAGGGGTAGGTGCTCACACCTGTGCCAGTGCCTTGGTATGTGAGAGGCAATAGCTTCTCCAGGTGGATGGAAGAGCAACTGCGCTCCCTCGATATGTCAGTGAGGGGCTCAGACCCTGAGGCAGCAATGAGCAGGAGTCTGGTTGACCAGGCAGAAGAGGCATGGGTTTAGAGAGGATGCGTCGCTGGAAATCTTAGACATCACTGAAGCCAAATTTTTAAAATAAGTCATACTATAAACCACCACCACCACAGCCATTTATTAAGTGCTTGCCAGGCACTGTGCTAAAGCTTTACAGACATTATTTCAGTTAATCCAGCAACCCTGAGGTAGATATTTTCAAACCCCCACCCCCACAAGTCATTATAGTAAAGGAAACAGACTCAGGTTAAATGAATCAACCAAGGTCAAACCCAGCTGGTAAGTAGTATGCTAGAAATGTACCGAAGGGACCAGACCCCAGACACATGCTTTTAAACACTAGACTGTTTCCCCTTGAAAATTAAGGACACACATTCCTTCCCAAAATGAGAACAGATGTTAGGTAAAGAGGGCGGGCAGTTTTAAAGGAACTTCTTGAATCAGCTGTTGTACTTATTCTCTTGGAGGAATGGAGAGTCATCCGGTGATAAGCTGACTGACCACTGGGCCCTTTCTCTTGTCCCCTACCATTTCCACCTTTCTCATGGGAGGCCTCCACTCCTGACACCAGACTACTCAATATGCTGCTTCTTCTCTAGCAAGCTCAGGAACGAAGGGGTCAAACTTGGTGACACTGAGCCAAAGACCTGAGAGAATTTAGGAGACATTCAGAAAATGTCCCTCATCCCTGAACTGCTGGACCCTAAGGCACGAGGGTACACTCAGATGGAAATACAGAGCTCGCTCCTGCCACCCTGGCTTCCCAAGCCTGGCCTCTTTCTCGCAGTCTCTCACCAAGTCCTTCCCCTCTCCAGGTCCCTCCCCAACTGTCTCCAAGGCATCACTAATCACAGGCCCATGGGCCTTGAGGACACCAGTTTCTGAGCCACTGTTCCTCCAGAAACGTCCCCAAAGTGCTCAAAAGGGCTGCAGTCAGGCCCCTATAAGTCTATAGTTAAACAGCACTGACTGAAGTAGTAGAAAGGACTGCCAGAGTGAGTCAAGCTGACCCAGCATGGAAAGACCAAAGAATGGCAAGTGAACAAAGCAGACAGACACAGCAACAGAGCTACCTGAGGTCAGAAGTGAAGAAAGGACAGAGAGAAACTCTGCGGAGAGGGATCCTCTAGACAAGCTGTCTAGCACTAGAGCCAGAGAGCTTCTTTGAGGAAAAGAGCCTTGGTAAAGAGGCTAGAGAGCCTGGGTGTAAGAAAGCTCAAAGAGCCACTTCGGGATGGGTTAAGAGGATGCCAAGAGAAATAGGAACCGGAAAGGTCTGGGCCTCTAGAACCCTGAGCTATCCCCGACCCCACACCTGCCCATCTAGGTAAAACTGGTCAGAGGGTCACTGCTGGTAGCCCTTGCTAAATTCTGCACCAAGTTTTGAAGGATGAAAGACAACAGAGGCAGGGAACTTAACAAGGATTGAGATAGCACCATCCTTGAGAAGTTCACATTATGAAAGGAGACAGAGGAGCCCCTTCTCCTCAAGCCTTGAGGGGACCTGGGGTCTAAGGAACACACTAATGGTGAGGACTACTACTTGGTACAGATTACTATTCGTAGGCATTTGAAGGGACGGGGGTGAGTGGTGAGGTAAATCTCAAACACTGGAAGATCAAAGTTGGATTCCCCACACCTTTTAATAGCCTCATCACTGGGTCACTGAGCCAGGAACCTCAGTGTTCCCCACAGCAATGGCTCACTGATCCAGAGGGAGTCAATGCTGCTGAGAGGCTCGAGGAAGAGTCTCCCCCTCAGGTAGCCTGTGCTACACCTGGCTCTTCCTCACAACAGCCCTCCTTGCACACACCTCGTCTCTGCTACTCTTCAAATGGTTTCCTTCCCAACTTCCACCAGGGTCTGGGCTTTGATAAAGATCAGGTTTCCTGCACAAGCCCAAGTGCTGGGAAGTGACAGATGCTTGTCACTAGTGGAGCTCAACAGTGTTGACTACAGAAACACTTCCCGTAACTAAGCACACATCTTAACTAGCCTACTGTGCCCACCACTCACTCATCTACCGTCAACTTCGCTGGCTCATGCAGAAAGATGTCAGTTTCCAAACCAACTTCAAGCTGGGACTGGACTCCTAGTCTATGAAGGCATGCAAGCTCTACCCGCACTTGTGGGAACTCCAATAGGTACTTGGCCCAGAGGATTGTGGGGTCAGGGACAGGAGTGTTTCCACATACTGGGTGGGCCCACTAGTAAGGATCCTTCCTCTCTCTGTCTCCTAACAGATTCAGATTAATGATGGCTCATTCCTAATTGTCAAATTTCTTTTCCTTCATCCTGTGTCTAATCACCAGTGACAGAAACCATTACGCAAATGAGAGCAGACGACTTCCCCCAACTGTTCGCGTTGGTAAAAACCTTGTAATTTAGAGCTCTGATTTGTTGGGGAAGCTGGTCTCCCCCAGGCATCCTGGGCATCTGCTCAACTGATGCCCAGAACAGCCCCTCCTCCACCCCGTAACTCCAACCCCCCAGCAAATATTTGACTTCACAAAACAGTAGTTTTCACTGTACTGCTGATAAAAATGTGAGAGCTTGCAACATGGCTGACCCCGAGACAAGCCTGTCTCCACCTTCCTTGGCACGTCTGACTCCTGCACTGCTGGCTAGAATGGGTAGACACTGAAGCAATGCTTCCTCTGTTGCAAGTACAACTGAAGCCCCACCAGCCCTAAGCTAGGTGAGATCTTGCATGTCATTCCCAGGAGGAAGTGGGCCAGCGGAACCCGAGTCCCATGCAGAGGCATGCTGAGAAGAGCTATGGGACCTACACTGCAGAGTACACAGCACCCCTCCCCAGCAGAGCCAGAGCTCACTCTCCACTTCTTCCCAGAACCCTCCCCTTGTTAATATGGCTTTCCAGGCAGCTTGCCCAGGTCTCTAGCTGAAGCCCCCAAAGCCTTTCACCCTTCCACACCCTCTTGCCTGAGCCTGCCTGCACACTGCCTAGGGAACAAGGCTTGAGGCGAGGTAGAGAGCCAACAGTATTTGGAAGAAATGGAGGAGCAGGGGAGGGGTGGGTTTATAGCCAAACAGCATTAGTTTTTGTCTTGACTACCACTCTTCACCTACACTCTGAGCGGTTTCTTCATCTGTGAAGTAAGAAGCTACCATGCAGCATTGGGAGGGACAGAACTAAAAGCAATAGGTACACATCAGGTGTCTAAAATCAGGAACAGCTATGACATCATACCAGCATCAGAGCTAATCCTGTGATGGTCCCAAAGCTCACCTTTTCTCTCCTTGCCCCCAGCCACTCTATGTCAGACCTGTGAGAGGCAGAGTATACTGAAGGATCAACTAAGCAGATCCCTGCTACAGCTGACACCTTTGAGGGCAGAGCCAGGGCCACAGATCTGCTGAGAACGAAAATCTGCCATGGTGGCCACACTGAGACTGCTCTGCCTTGCTCTTCTGCTGTGTTCCTCTTTCCCAAGAGAGATGGAGGCATGAGTTTATTGCAACCACACTGTCCAGCACTGGGTGTATTTAAAGAGCCATACTCAGAAGATATCAGGTCTGCATACCCACACTACATCAGAGTTCCCTTTGAGTGCACAGAGGGGTGCACAAGCATACAAATGCATCTTTTCAGCCCATGGGGCACTGTAAGCTCAGCTTCAGGGCTAAGACCCGTAGCTTGACACTGGAGGTCAAATCTACAGGGAAGGTGACAAAGGAAAGGATAAAATCAGACTTCTAACTCAGATTTTAAAGAAAAGGACGATGGAGAAGGGACTTGAGGTAAGTGGACACAGGGCCACCACTCCCTCTTAACAGATGTGAATGATGGCGCTCTGTGCTGTGTAACACTGAGCTGCCCAGCTCTGAGTTGCAGCCCTGAGGAGGGTTCCCATAAACAGAACCAACAGAAAAGTGAATTCTGTCTCCAAGCTCTACCAGTTCTACTCTAGCTGTCATGCCACGCTTTGCTGGGTCTGACAGAGGCGCTGGCTCCAAGAGGCAAGAGGACATTATTTTCCCTTGCCCTGAGGTGGATGAAATGTATTGAGTTAGCTGCCTAAGTTTGACCCCATTTCATCTACTCAGCCAGGAAGCTCAGCAGGAGCAGGGAACGTGGCCTGGACAGGGAAAGACGCGGGACCTGGAGGCTTGAGCCAGTCAGCTTTAAGTAGGCTGCAGTAAGATCTGACCAAGATAGGATGGCTAAAATCCAAGTTTAAAAGCTATAGGCTAAGTCAGACAGTATCTGGGTTCACACTGTACTGTCACACTGGACAGTGTAAGCAGTAGAGAACTTTAGTAAGCAAGAAGGATGGCAAGTGTGAACACACATAAGTGTGCAGATGTGTACAAACACATGCAGAGGTTCATACCCCTGGAGTCCAAAGAAGTCAGAGCTAGAATCCCCTCAGTGCAGCACAGGGACAAGAGCTGGTACTGACAGAGAACAGCTGCGTCTGCCTGTATTTAGACATACGCACAATCCTCTGGTTTTAGGTCCCCAGGTTTTCCTTCTATGTATGGCTTGAGCGTGTAGTTCTCACCTGGAATCCTATCTAATCCTCTTCCACTAGAAGGCTACCTAGGCTCCCAAAGATAAGCCTCCTTCTTGGCGCCCCCTACTAGGTCCCAGCAGTTATTGCCACCTGGTTTGTAGCCTGACTATGCTGCAAAAACTGGCAGACGGCAGACTGATGTACAGATTCATTCTGGCATCACAGTCCAGATGTTGTAGGGATGCAGGAGCATCTCCCCTCCCAGGCTAAGCCACTGAGGCTTCAGGAGACAGGAGCTGAGAGCCAGAAGTGATATCCTGACCCAGGAAGAGGGAACAAGGAACAGATCCATGCATGTGTGTGTATACACACATGCATATGCACACATGTACACACACACACCCTGAGGTTAACAGACTAACACAGACATGATTACAACCAGAAGCTGGGACTCCACACACTAAATGCAGGACTTCAGGGGGGCAAATAGGGAAGGTTCTGGGGCTCAAGAGGCAAGGGTGAGAAACCTTTCCAAATGGGAGTGGAGTCAACTACCCTGCCTTGCCTCAGACACCTGCCTCCAGGGCCATGGCAAGAGTCCAGTCCATTAAGTGCAGCGTGCAATACTAGTGCTTGGAGTGTCCTGTCCTCATCAACGAAGCAAGTGGACAGGACAGCAGTCACCTGGCAGGAGGCCTTGACCTCTGGCAGGTTAGTTGTAACGGCCTTTAATCATGGTGTTCAACAAAGGCCCCACCTGTAAAGAGATATAAGAAGCTGGTTAGAACCACCTATCCCCTCATCCTGGCAGGACTGGGTGTGCCTGGAGACATGAAATATTCAGCTAAGAGCAGGGAAAATGATCTTCAGATCTTGTAAGTTTTCTAATCAACACTCCTGAATGTCAACTTAGTATTCTAGGGCAATGACCCTTTGGAGGCCCAGTTTACTTTCCTTCCCTTTAATTCCCTGTGTATGGGCAAACAGCACCCATCAGACAGAAAATGGTCTGAGGAGCCAATAACCCCAACACCTGAAAGTGTGTCTGTAGGTTTCTCCAATGTGCCTGAAGAATTGTAAATGCTCCGCCATCCTCAACAAAAGGCCACCTGCAGTTAGTACTGGTGCTCTCAGCCCCACAGGCCCCTGTGATGTTGAAGCTAACCATAGGATGGAGGTAAGGCAAGTAAACTGCACATCTTCTTCCTCTATCCAACAGACCAGTAATGTACCTGGGAGAGCAGCGGGACTCAGCACAACCTAGAGCAGCCCCGGCCCAGCTGGGAGAGCACAAGGAGATGCCTTAGTACACACTTCCCATCCCATAAGAATCTGCTCATGGGTCCCAGATGGCTCACACGCCCCAAGGCAGACGTTACTGCTAGCATGGAACAGATTATAATGGAGCCACCAGTCAAGCCCAGCCCTCAACAGAAAACAAGATTTCCTAAATATACAACTCAACTCCATGGAAAAGACGGCAGCTACTAAAACAGAGGAGGTACAGAGAAAGCCATCAGCCCTTACCTCTTGTGGGTTCCCCAAGGCCTCTCCAAGCATCTTCTCAATGTTCCTCATGATGGCTACTTTCTGATGAGCTTTGAGAGGATATTCGATTCTCTTAGGGGTGGGAGCCCCCTACAAAGGAAGCAAGAGATCAGGAACTACCTTTAACCAGGCTTGCAGCATTCATTACCTCTCTAGTCCCAGCCTCCCTTCTAAAAAAAAGAGCAGTTCAATTTTATTCTTCTCCATCTCCCCGTCAATCACTTCCAGGGATAATCAACAACCCCGGCCAGCCCAAACCACTTGCAGTCATGTGGCTACTTCACCCCAGCCCCAGTTCCATATGGACATATGGAGACACACACACACACACACACACACACACACGCACACACAGAATTATTATTTCTGTGTGTGTATATATCAATAACAACAACAACAAAACCCCACAAATATTCACCTTATACCAGAAGTTCACAGTGATGGTAATTCCCCCATTTAGTAATGACTCTATGTGGTGCCACCTATTAAAAAGAAAAAGAAAAAAAAAAAAAGAGGGGAAAAAAAGAGGCTCCTATTTATTTCGTAGAGACAAGGATGAGCTTTGAGAGGATATTCGATTCTCTTAGGGGTGGGAGCCCCCTACAAAGGAAGCAAGAGCTCAGGAACTATCTTTAACCATAACTCGTATAGTCCAGTTAAGGAGTGAAGACAGGTGCTTTATGCTCATCCTGTGAAACACACAGTGGGCTGGGAGCTGGGGCATTTGGCTTGCAATTAATGAAGGGCTGGTACAGGGAATACAGAGCTCTTTGGATTTGAGGAATTGTCCTCCTTTCTTAAAAGAGAGCTGTTCTCTATGCTCAGTGTGTTCAGTCTGGACATGCTTATCCCCCTACAGGTAAATAATCCTGCCACAACTGAGAAGGGACTCAGATAAGGCTTTCTGGAAACAGGAAGGAAGCATTTCAAGAGCCCCGTCCCGTCTCCTCACCAGTACATGGGGATGTAGAGAACATCCCCAGGGCCGACCACTGCTTCATAACCAACCACGTTTCGGAAATTGGGGAAACTCTCATAGTCAGGATTGTCAAAGTCCACCTAAGGGTCAAGAAAGAAAAAAGGTCAGTCCGGTGATTGCTATGGAAGCTTTAAAAAAAAAAAAGACTTAAAAAAATGATTTCACTGTTTGTATGCAGAGGATACACTGGATATTAACTGGCCCTCTCAGAGAACGACTTAAGGAAGTCCATGCTCATGTTACACTATAATGTATTCTAGACTTCAGTACTCCTGAGCTCTGAAGAACTCCCCAAAAGCCTTAAGACAGGAGGAGTAAGGATTCATCCATTAGCCAAACCTTTCCAGAGTTTCCCCCAAACAAATTCTAACAGGAAGACTGCTACATGAAGTAGCAGGCATCTTTCTCCCAGAGTATGTCAGGATCTGGAGAGAGGCTCAGCAGTTGAGAGCACTTGCTGCTCTTGCGGAAGACCCAGGTTTGGTCCCCACACCTACACGGTGGCCTCATAACCATCCATAACTCCAGTCCCAGGGGATCCAACGTCCTCTTCTGATCTCCACAGGCACCAGACATGCACATGGTGCACATACATATATGCAGGCTAACACTCACACAGAAAATATTGTATTTGTCCATCTCCCTATCAAAAAGAAGCATACACAATAAAAGAGAACAGTTGGTGGAGGCATTCGTAGTTGATGAAACTGGGCAAAAAACAAACAAACAAAAACACCAAAACCAAACTAAGAAATCTATGTCTTCCAACATTAATGATGGAGTTTGTTCCCCAATAATTAGTTCTGTTTATACTTACAAATATCTGGGATCATCACAGGAGCCTGGAACATGTAGGCTACACTGTAAAATTATTCTCTGGGCTTATTTGTAGGACAAGATCAGCAGTAAAATAGACCTGACGCATCCCCAAAAGGAAGAGCAAAGATATTCCAGCCTCTGATCTCAAAGGCATTCCTAGGGCCCAGAGTTCTACACCCTCTTCAGACCACAAAAGCTCACCTGGCTCTGCCTGTCACAGGGGTGATGAACAGGGTATGGATAGAGGCACTCAAACTGATCTGGAGGAAATAAGATGCATCTCTTATGGCCTTTTATCTGGGCAAAAAAGTTCTGTTGCTCATCATAGTGAGCAGGTGTCACATTTCCTGCAAAAAACAAAACAAAAACAACAAAAAAGACACTTTCTTAGCTGAGGTAGTGGCTCCCACTGCACAGGTGACATGCAGACACAGCCCAATGCTTCTAGCTGTCCTCTTGGCCAAGGTTAACTTAACTTGTAGTCAATCAGTCAAGTGTTCCATTTTATGAGTAGTAATCTCAAGCAACCATCAATGGGCAAGGTCTCTCACCAGCCAGGAAGTTATCCTCAATGTGGCTGATGCCCTTATTGGCAGTGAGAGTTCATTAAATAACTCTGACAGGTAACACGCTTACACTCTTCCTGACTACGGCAAGAATCCAAGGACAGCAAACCAATGAGTGAGGATGGACAGGACTGGTACCGATGGCACACACTCTCCTGAGGTTCTTCTGGAACCGGAGACTCTCAATGCTGGTCTCACCTCACCACACTTGTAAGATACAGCGTTGCGCAGAGCAACACTGGGAGGCTGATTCTCAAGGAAAGAAAGATTACTGAACTACTGGAGAGGGCTGCAGAATTTAAGAGACATTGCAGCAGGGCAGTGGTGGCACACGCCTTTAACTTGAGAGGCAGAGGCAGGTGGATTTCAGAGTGAGTTCCAGGACAGCCAGGGCTACACAGAGAAACCCTGTCTCGAAAAACAAAACAAAACAAGAAAGAAAGAAAGAAAAAGAAAAAAAAGAGAGAGACATTGCTTAGAATGTCACCTCGGCTTTGGCCAGGCCTTATAATGCAGGACTGTGATTCCAGCTTCTTAAGAGTCTGAAGCAGGATGATCATAATTTCACGGCCAGTATGCACAATTTGGTGAGACTATGATTTAACATGAAAATGTTTTTAAAAAACAGCTGGGACAGCTTAATGGTATAGCATTTGCCAGCATGCACAAGGACCTATGACAATCCCCAGCATCACAATATATACATATATACATGTATATGTATGTACACACACACACACACACACACACACACCCTGCTACCTTGAATTAGTTCTGCCCTAACACACATTCCATCTATCCTGTTTAGCTAAGGTCACAGCTGTACCTTCTGTACAATGTGAGCCTGAAGAACTTGCTGGTCCACAGCTGTAGTCCTAGCATTCGGGAGGCTGGGCACAAGCACTACTGTGAGGGTCAGGCTACCCTGAGCTACATAGTATGTTTATAGCCAACCAGGGATAAACAGTGAAACCCTGTCACAAACTAAATACCTAGTGTGCCAAGACGGCTGCCTTCCTACTGTGGACAGTCCAAATGCACCCTCTCAGTAGCCCTCACATCTCTACCAGAGGCACCTGCTTCCCTGAACCTAGCCACGGCAAAAGAAAGCTAGAGATTAACCCAGAGCCAGGGAAAGCAGAACTGCATTTTTTCTAAAAAGCCAAAGTTGGTTTTAAAGGGGCAGGTGAATCCCAATTCATACGCTGCCCTGTGAGAAAACTCTTTACTAGTGCTATCAAAAGTCCAAATCTGAGGAAATACCAGTCAAAGGAGAAGAGACTTAGGGACTCAATTAGGTCAATGAGATTATTCTGTTTCTTTAATCACCAAGTTTACTCGGCCATCATCACACAGCTGTTGATGGTTTAGCACTAAGCCAGTGCTGGACACCGAAAGATAACTCCACCCTGCAAACAGTGTTCCTTCTCCTAGACAACACTTAAACACTTCTTCCTACTCAAAACAAAAAGCAAAGGGCTGGACAGGTGGCTCAGCAGTTTGGAGCACTTGTTGCTTTTGCAAAGGACCAGGGTTCGATTCCTAGCATCCACATGATGGCTTGTAACCACCCTAACTCCAGTTTGAGGGGATCCTTTGCCCCCTTCTTATATCCACCTGCACCAGGTACACAGAAGGTGCACATATATACACATGTACATACATGTACACAAACCATTCATACACATAAGATTAAGAATTTAAAAACCATTAAAAAAATCAAAACACATTTACATATTTACTTGTGTCTATATAAAAATTTCCAGCAAGAAACACAAATGAGTACGCCATGAAGCATCTCTGGAGAGGAAAACGGAGAAGCTGAGAGGAAGAGGAGAAGATTGATGGCTAGTGCCTATTTATATCCTTTCAATTTTGAACTCCGTACGTATGTATTTAAGAGATAAGGTTTCACCATATTAGAAAAATAGTTTCTGCCAGGCACAGTGATACATGCCTTTCTTTTATCCCAGCACTCAGGTGGATCTCTGTGAATTCAGGGCCACCCTGGTCTATGTACTGAGTTTCAGGCAAGCCAGAGCTACACAGTGAGACCCTGTTTTAAAAAAAAAAAAAAAATTCCATTTGTACAGGAATAGATCCCTCAACACCCTGCAACGCAACGGAGTGCAGCAGCATTCCAAAGAGGCCTCCCTGCCTCGGCATCTGTGCTCTCAGCACAACTGAGAAAGGAAAAGAACTCCCTTAAGACTGCACGGCACTACCCAAATGACTTAAATTAGACATTACCTCATTCAACTGTGGTAGCTACTTATAAAATGCTATCTTGTTCCTTCTGCAGACGAGGACTCCGAGGACTTAAAAAGTCCAGTGACTGGTTCACAGGCACAGGGCTAATAAGTGGTGGAGACAGGATTAGAACTCAGGTCTGCATGACGCAGAGCCATGCTTTGGGAAGCGTTCCTTACCTTCCATGCCGATGAGCAGCAGGTTAGAGGTCAGCTGCCCCCAGCCACGCTTCCCCTGCTGTTTATTAATCCAGTTCCAGTTAAAACCCAAGAAGTCCATGACAATCTTTCTACCCACGGTGTCATTGAGTGTTTGCTGCAGATACAACCTACATTCCCCAAGAAAAAAGTTCCATCAGTATATGTGATCGGACCATGGTAGTACCTCTCTACGTCTGGAAACTCAAGGCTGTTACTAGCATCTCCAGCAGAATGCTTGTAGTCATGCAAGTAGTTGGACAGTAGTCACAGAGCTGAATTCTTTCTCCTTCTCTGAGCTCTGCTCCACAACAAGCTCTGCAAAGACGAGATGCTTAACCCTCTGGATCCGAGTACAGACTACCTAAGAACTCAAGGTTTCATAGAAAAAGGTCCAAACACATGGAAATCTCACACAGTTTAGTGCCCTGGAAGCCTGTCTGCAAAGTCTATGATGAATCTGACTTCTTTCAGACTCTCACGACCTGACGCACCTCCTCTGGCCCCTGATGACCACTGTGGCTGATGCCAACACTGCTCAGCAGCTGCCCTTTGTAGGAGAACCTGGTTTAACCGATACAATGTCACAGAGGGACTTGTGTTGTTTCCAAGGGGGATTTTAGGAAATAGTCCATACTACTCTGTTTTTCCCTTTGCTACATCCAACTGCAAAATTCCAGACTGTAACTACTGGGACAATTTGTGTCCAGGAATCAATAAGATGATGTGACCCAGGACAAGCCTGTATGAGAGAAAATAAGGGACTTTACTGCCTTAAATTCTAACAGTTATGGCAACACTGATTAGAAGTCTCAGTAACTTGGAAAAACTAGCTGCAATGAACCTCCTAGGCTCTCCCACGATAAGAGAGGCCGGCCCTGAATTCCTGACTCTTCTGCTTCTACTTCCTGAGTGCTGCCAATTACACACAAGCACCACCCTGCCAGGTATAGCACACATACTTACCAAAAACAAAACAAAAAGGTAAGACACAAATCTAAACCATATTCCCATTACAAGTGAGTTATAAAAGCTCAAAATATCTCTCAGTAAACATGTGGGGGTCAAAGGACAACTTGTGAGAGCTGGTTCTCTTCCTCCACCATGGTGGTCTTGGGGATTATTAACTCAAGCTGTCAGGCTTGGCACTTGCACGTTTACCCAATGAACCATCTCACTGGCCCAGACATTTAAAATCTATTCACTTAGTTACATTCTGGTGATAGGAGGCCAGAAAGAGAAACAAGACAGGAGACTACGGAATACTCCAGATATGGCCATCAAATGTGGGACAGGGACAATTTTATAATGTGGGACTGACTGCTGTCTGGAACCCATGTAACTGGGCTGTCCTCAGAGGTGGAAATAAAAACAAAGAGGAAGAAAGAATCACTCTCCCAAATGACTTCCGACCACTGGAATAAAGCAGTGTATCAAGCAATGTGTTCTGGTCTTCCCAAAGCTAGAGGGTCCTGACAGCCCTTAAACCAAATCATACAAACTGCCGAACTTTCAGCATGAACTGTCCCCAGACAGGACAGTATTTGAAAATCAAGACTGCAAACTGTCAATAAGAGCTGCAGTAGGGGGGCTGGAGAGACGGCTCAGTGGTTAAGAGCACTGACTGCTCTTCCAGAGGTCCTGAGTTCAATTCCCAGCAACCACATGGAGGCTCACAGCCATCTGTAACGGGATCCAGTGCCCTTTTCTGGTGTGTTTAAGGGACTACAGACAGTGTACTCAGAACTCAGATACATAAAATAAATCTAAAAAAAAAAAAAAAGAGTTGTAGTCGGACACTGGGGTTCAGTTCCTAGGACCCACATGAGGTTAACAACTGTCTGTAACTCCTTTGCAGAGAATAGAATGCCTTCTGCCCTCTACAGGCATTAAATACACATGGTGTGCAAGACATACAGGCAAACACACATGCACACCTTTCATCTCAGCACTCAAGTCGGAAGCAGGAGGATTTTTGTGAGTTTGAGGCCAGCCTGGTCTATATGGCAAGTTCCAGGCCAGTCAGAGCTCCAGAGTGAGTCTCTGCCCTACTCTCCCAAAAAAACAAACCAAAACCCAAAACAAAACAACAAAAACCAAACACCTGCACACATAAAACACAGTTGTTGTTGTTTTTCAAGAAGTCAAAAGATTATAAGAATCTTCTTTTGAGCTTGAAATTTTAGAACCCTGGGACAGCCCTCCCAAACAGAAACACACAATGACTTCTAACTCTGAACAACGTATGCCTTCAGCCTTATTAAAAGCCCCACATAGGCACGGTCAAGCCTTTCTTTCATCCGACTGACCCTGCAAGGCAACTGTCACCCTATCTACCTAAGACAGGAAATTTGATTCACAGTTCAAGGGTAAGCGTATTCTCATCCACCGAGCTAGAAAGAACCATCAAGAACTCAAAGCCCTTACAGAAGAGCCGAGCAGAATATCCATTCGTGGAACCCAGAGGCTGGAGATGCCAGTCCCTTCTTACCCAATTCCACCACACCTTCAAACAAGTACAGGAAAATGAATGCCCTAGTTCTACTGACCGGGCAACTTACCGCTCTTCTCCCCCGCGCTGCTGTATAGCTTGTAGTTTCTCAACGAACTCATGAAACTTAATTTCCTCCCTGTTGGACCTCGGCTTAAAGTTCTGGAAGTTGGCCATCTTCTTCTCATCGTAGTATAAGAACTTATGCGTGCTGGCACTATACACAGAGAAATCTCCGTTGCCAATATTCTCTTGCAGGTATTCGAGGTCCCACTTCAGAGCAGGATACACAAGGTTTGTGTCGGTCAGCACCACAGGCTCCTACGCAAAAACATCAAAAAGAAAATCAATCAAGTGATTCCAAGGAGCTAATATGTTCTTTTCGACGACATTTGTACTTGTCAAATTCACAACACTTTCTCCTGTCAAGCACTCCTGACTTACCATCTCCCTTTCCCGCCTCACACGTCTCTGTCCACAGTCCCGTGAGTTTCCCACCTCTCCCCTTAACTGGGTCCCTTCCTCCACCCCTTCAGCAGCAGCCCCGCCCCCCACCTCATTTTCGATGAGCTCTTCCGCCCGAGGGTCACTCTGGCTCAGACGTGGGATCGGCCTGGTCGGAAAGCTGTAACTTCGTAGCTGGGACTCATCCCAGGCCGGACCCGGAGCTTCAGCCTCTTCCCGGGCTTCTCCAGAGCCAGAGGCCGCAACCTCGGCTGTCGTCGCCGCCATCTCTACTCTAGGGACGGCCCCGCCGGAAGTAGAAGCTCCGCCCTTTCCGGAAGCAACTACAAGGAACACCATAGAGATGAACTGCGAGAGAAACCGGTCCAGACCCTTTAAGTAGGTGGGGGGGGCCTAGGTTGAAAGAGCGCTACCTAACGGTGACCTGCAGCACTACAGCCTAGGCTCCATGTTGGCCGACCTGCTTAGTTCATTAGAAAAGGGACAAACAAGCCCACAAAATACTGCATGTTCAAGCCTACAGAGGCAAAGACAGAGGCAAGTGTAATTAAGCTTTAAACTTTACTCTCATGGGTGGGGAGAGAAGCCAACGCTTAGGAATCACTAGAAAAATCAATTAGCACATAGATCTTGGGTAAAGCTGTCCTGAAGGCTTAGACACATGATAAATGACAAAGTGAATTCTTTCAGAATCTAGAGAAAGTCAAGGGCTTGTAGTTCCAACTACTGCAGAAGCTGAAGCAGGAAGACCACTTGACTTCAATAGTTCAGAGCTAGTCTGGATAGCATAGCAAGCCACTATCCCTTTCAAAAAAAAAAATCCTTTTTGTTTAGTATTATTTTATTTTTCTGCATATCTCTCATGTTTAAATCTAATCTTGCAATGAGACCAATGTTATTCAACCACAAATATCCACATCTCCCAACAATATATACTGGTTATAAGAGACAGTATTAATTGCTTTGTTTGTTTATTGGCTCATTCTAATAGATATCTACAGGAGGCCAAGGTTGTCTTCCCATGGTGTACATGTCCTATTTAAGTCTCTCCCCTTAAAATGACAGTAGGAACTGCAACTAAGGTTAGGATTCTGTCTAAACTCCACCTCCACAGTTACCTGGCAACAGCCAGGTGTGCTCCTCCCCACAGTAACCTGGCAATAGCCAGGTAGGCCTGGCCCACTATAAAAGGGGCTGCTTGCCCCCCCCCCTTAGTCTCTTGATCTCTTACCTCTAGCTTCTCTCTGTCTCCTCGCCCCTCCCCCTCCCTCCCCCTCTCTCCACGTGGTCATGGCCAGT